TCATCAGCCATGTGGCTGAGAAAGGAAAGGTAAGCAAAGGAAAGCACTCAGTATCAAGTCTAAACAGAGCTTTTAAAGGAGAAAAAGTAGCAGATCTTAGCTAGGAAAGCAAATACAAAAGGCAACATGAACTGAAAGCAGTAGTTACATTGGAAATAAAAGATAATGACTGGAAGCATGAAATGCAGACATAAAAAGCTTGTCACAAAGTCATTTTTGAAGAGTGTACATTATTGGTAGTTTAAATTCTTTTATTCTTCTCTGCCTCTCACACTCACATATGTTCTCTTCTTAATGCTCAGATTTAAGGCTTAGGTCAGACTGGATTGCCTTCTTAAGGTTTGGTACCTTTTTTTTTTTTTTTTTAATAATATTAATCTAAGAACTTGGTCCCACTCCTGTTTAATTTATATTAAAGCTTTCTTGATGGCTTCATCAGTAAAACATCAAAACTGAGTTCAGAACAAAGACTGGTATAGGTTTACACCATCCCTCCCCTTCACAAAAAGTGTATCCCCCCTCTATAGAAAACTCTCTGTGTTTCCCTCATGGTCAGATTTGTAGATGTGCCATATTTGAGGCAAATCAGGTTTTAAATGTCTGTTTTCTGTAGCTTGATTACCTTGAAAACAAATGCAATATGTTTTTGTTGGCAGGAAGTTACCCAGGAAAGGGGACACACCTCAGAGAAAAACAAGAGTGACTAAAAGACTAAAAGAGCTATCAGACTGATTTTATAAATCTGTTATTTCTACAAATTCACAGGATGTTTATGTGGATCTTTCTGATCAACTTCACTCACATTTTCCATCAGTGTTTGCAAGCCAACATGATTTGGAAGAACAAACCTGTAGTGGTCACTGAATTCTGGCAAACTTCTAAAGAGCAAATAGATTTACCAGTTTGATGGGAATAAATTAATGGCATTGTAGTATTTCCAGAGGGAAACAAATCTATGAGGCAGCAAGCATCAAAATATACTTCTTCAACTTGCCAGTTTTTACACACCAGACAAAGGTCCACTTTGCTGAACTACAGTGTTTTCCCCTATGCTGGGCTAATCCAAGACCAGTTTGGTCTTAATTTTATTGCAAACAAACTTAGCTTAAATTTGTTGGCAAACAGCAAGCCCTGGGAGAAGCCTGCACTTCATCAATCAGCAATAAATGTAGGGACATTTGATCCTTGTATCTGACAGATAGGTAAAAGCGGCCAAATTGATTTTGGTGAACAATTTTCAATGCTTTGGGGGGCAGGAAAAAAACTCTTCCAAAACTGGTTTCTTACTGACAAGCTGGAGAGAGTGAAACAAGAAGAGTGACAGAGACAAAAAGGTGTTTACTCCATGGAAGGAGTCACATTGCTAAACTCTAACCACTGTGGCTTTAGACAAAAACCACACATGTACAGATCTGGAGAATGTCACAATCTGGTGTTGCTAAGAAGCCTGAGCTCTGCTTTTACAAAACTCGAAACCTTAGTTGTTTCAGTGCAGATTCATAATTAGAATTTCTTTAGAGAAGCAGCTCTGAAGTGGCTTTAATAGATACACCCCTACAAAGCAGCAGCTATAAATGCAGATGAGAACTTGAAGCGTTTTCAGGTGTTGTAGCAAAAGGAAGTGGTTCTTTGGAGGTGGGTCTGTAGAAGAAAGTCACTTATGTCTGCGGACTTTGTGCCTCTGAGCAAAAAAAACCTGAAATTTGTCTGCAATTTAAGCACCATGTATTAGCACATAACTTCCTTTTCCCTTTATACCAATTCCTTATTGTTCTCCTCCCAAACCAAATGCCACATCCAAACTGTGAGAGTGTGAAAGCCATCTTAAGAGATGAGGAAGGAGTGAAAGCAAGGGATGTTTCCCCTGAGGCATGGGAGGGGTGTGTGTGTGTCAGAGAACAAGTAAGTGAAATGTGTCCCAGGAAACCTGTGTCAGAAGCATCCAGAAGCAGATGTTAGGAGGAGAGTAGTCCTTTTCTTACAGAATGATGTTACTCTTAGCAGAACTACCCAGCTTCTGGCATGGCTGTAGAAAAGGTAAGGCTTAACTGGCTCATTTTCATATGTCAAGGTGCAATTCCATTATGCCTTCTTCATCACCAAAACTGGTTTAAGGTGTTGTTTATTCTCCCACTAGACCTTTGGTTTTAGTACTGTGACATAGCTTACCACTGCTCCAGCAGCAATGGTGAAGATGTTTAAAAAGTCATATTGTACACTGGATCACTGAAGTACAGCTAAAAAAAGAAGGTCAAGAAAAAAAGATCATTTCACTGATCTAGTTTATAGGCCCTCAGAGAGATGCACAACTGAGGCACTGTGATGGGAGTCTTTTAAATTGACTTTGCTGATGGAGAAAATTTAAGAAGGCAATATATGTGCACCCCGAGACAGGGGAGGAAGGGAGGAGCTGTACCTGGCATACTCTAGCATTTAAAGCACTTATTCTATTTTTCACCTCTCCCCAACCCTCCACCCACACAGTTCCATGTGAGCAACCTGCTGAAGTCCTGCTCTCTCATTGTAGTTTTTGCTTCAACTTTAGTAAAAGAGGAACATGTTTTTACTTTCTCAATACATTAATTACAAGACCTGCTGCTGAAAAACAAACTATTTACATCTATCTGGTCATTTGGGATACCATTCGGAGGCACACTTCTCTACCACTGTACTGCAGTAACTATATTTATCATATGCCAGACTTCCTTCTTTCAATAAAATGTAAATTACACCATCCTGTAGAAAGGTCCCTATTGCGGAAGCAGGTTATCAAACAACCGTGCTCTGGCTGAAGTAATGCAATATCTTCAGAAACCCACCTAGATGAAAACTTCTGTCTGAGGCAAAGGAAAAGCCTTCTTGGAGCTTGTGAGTTCCTCCAGTTCCTGACATGAGATTACAACTCCATTTGGCATGGTTACAGACACCACATTCCTGATCTGACATAGTAAGAATAATGGCTCAGAGCACTTTACATCCAAGAGGTACCTCTGCCATTTAAATGGAACCACAGTGCTAAGCAACAGACATTTTTTTAGTTCACTATATCCTCTTCCAAACTGTTTCCTCTAGCCCTGTTGTCTTGCTGCTCACTATGTTCTTTTGAGCTCTAAATTCAGAAAAGCTGGCATCTAACACCAGTATACAAAAGGGCCAACACGAATACAAGCTATCCAGCAAAAGAATTTTTGCCCCAAAACTCAGTTTTGGAACACAGAAATCTGAGTTTCCTGCTTTGGACCTACCCAGACTTGTCCTAAATGCCAGCAGAAAACATCCTGTTACCTGCCTTAAAAGAAGCACAGCAATGGGGCAAGGGGGGGGGTGGGGGGGGGGGGCGTATTTTGGTTGGTTGGTTGGTTGGTCCTGTTTGGTGGGTTTTTTTCCGAAGAAAACAATCATTTTCACAGCATCTGTTACACCTTAGCTCCTTCAGTGATAATTCACCAAGTACAAAGTTTTAGGCTTGTCCACCCTGGCCTCACAGTTCCCCGGTTCAACAATTCCTAAGGAGCCTTTATTAACATCTCAAATACCTCCTTTTCCTTCTCCCTTTCTCAGAGGGGTAAGAAATGCTTCAGATTCCTGAGTTCAGAAGGGCCTGGGGGCATTCCTCTTAACAGAGGATAAGTTGAAAGGAGAACAGTATCCTGCCGTTCTGTCACCCTGCACCTGTCTTGCTTATGACAAGCCAAGCTTGGGTGAGGTCCTGATAAGGAAAAGACACTTTAAAGAAACCGAGAAATCCACCTAAACATTGTTTAATTCACTCTGATAAGGCAGGGCTGTGGAGAACTTTCTGCTACCTTTGCTTCTATTTTCCTTCTGTAAGTCTTAGGCTGGGCCATGTTTTCACAGAACCAAGAATTCATAGCAGAGTGATTGTATTATAACAAAAACAGGAGTTGGTTAGGAGAACACATAAAAGTGACAGCATTTAACTACTTCACAGAATTTATTCATTGTTTTAATTGCTTTTCAGCATCAGACACCTTTAATGGACCTCTAAACAAAAGGCATCTAGCTGAATGTTCACTTCCCTCTTCCTATACCAGGATGAATTTAGTCAACCTTTTTTTTAACATCTTCCTTACAAAAAAAAACAAGAAAGCACCCCTACTTTCAGCTTGCTGCCGTTCCTGAGGTTACTGTATGAGATTCTTCTCCACCAATGGTGCCTCTCAGTTTATCCCATGTCCGCTGTTTGTTTTTGGGCTCAGCCTGCTGCAGTAATCAAGGCCAAATATTTGCTCAAATGAAGTGGCCCTGTGGTTCTCATTTCAGGAAGTTGGCTGAGGACAAAGTGAAACTAGCTTGAAACTCTCTAGTATGCCCAAGAGATGTTAAGAGCAAGGGATTTTTCCAATGCTGTAGAAAGTCATCCAGATTCCCACTGTAGCTTTTTTGTGGGAACTGCAGGGGAACTAACTCGTTTATAGCCTGCCCCAGTTAATGACACCACTTTTATCTGCCAGAAACCAAAGTGGGTCCAGTCAAAATCAAACTTGGGGATCATTCTGTCAGGCTACAACCAGAAAGAAGACCCAATGTGAAGTTACCCGAACATTCATTCTTCCTCTTCTGCAAGGCTGAAGTCCACATTTTTCTGATAAGAGGAGGCTACATCCTTTGTGCTTGCAAGTCAGTGGCAGGTCTTATAAACACACCCACAGATTCTCAGCATAACATATTGCAAGCTCTGTGCATCTGGAGCCAGTGCATGCTTTGCTCAACAACCCCCCTTTCATTTCTGCCAAGATTCCCTCCCACATTTAGGACTTTTTTCCTGCTCCCTTGAGAACCTCTTCAATTCTCCCAGCTCCTTACTGTAAGCATGGACTGTTCTGTACAGTTTTGCTGGTCTGCTCTGCCTTTGGGAACATATGGACCAGTGAAGGAAGCTGGGCACAAAGCTTATTCTCAGCTGCGAGTTTGGGTCAAAGGAATGGACCACAAGAGTGAACTGACAGTGCTGACACAGAAAGCAGAAAATTCATCAGGACTTTCTGAGGCATTAGCTTTGTAGGATGTGAGAAATTGCCAACACAGATACATGATACAGATACACTGTGGGAAACCTCCTTTCAGATGAGGTGAAGATGAGCTCCATTTAACACAGTCACCCTTCTTTCCCATTAATCAGAGCATCATTTCCTGGGATTACTCTGGAACAAAGAAAGCAACTCACCAGGCATCCTGTGTGTTTTTATAACACACCAATTCTGGTCAAAAATCAGTAACTCACTGAGGAGCAGCAGGCTTCTGAGGTGCCCAGGCTAGCAGCTGCTCTGAAATTTCTCAGCTACCAAGAGATAGGAAAGTGTTAGAGGAATCAAACCCACAGGAGAGAGGTGCTCAGGGACTTCTGGAGTTCCTTCTCATGAGGTAGCAGCTTGTGTTGGGCCAAGATGTAAGGAGTCTTGCAAGCACCGCTGCCTTCTTGCACTGCACTGGTCCTAGAAAAGGGAAAAAAAAAAAAAAAAAAAAAAAAAAAAAAAAAAAAAGAAAAAAAAAAAAAAAAAAAAAAAAAAAAAGAAAATGAGGTTGAAAGGTTGAAGAGAATATTTTGAATATTATTTGGACTTTGAGTTATAAACCTAAGCACGACCCAGACCTAAAGCACAAAATAAGGTAGCACTGCTCTCTTCTACCTAATGGGGCAAGTAATTCAACCTATGGTAAATCCTGTCCTCTCCCTCCCTGACTTTTCTGTTTGTACATAAAGTTAAAGCATCCTTAAGCCTCTTACTACTCTATCACTCTCCTGGTTACAGCTGCATCTAACACTGAACTTGAAATACACAACTGTACCTAAGTTTGCAGCTAATTGTGAGACACTGCAGAGGCCTGTAATTCTTTGACTCTTTATAGAGGAATGTACGTGTATAAAAGCCTTTTGAATTTTCATAAGCCGCCCCTTAGATGTGGGATAGCAAAATAAAAAAAAGATGAAAACAAGATGCTCACCCGATGATTCAGCTTTCCTGCAAAGTTTCTTCAACCAGCCATCATAACCCTGAAAATAATCATCCCTGCCCATTTTTCCTGTGGGCTAAAAACACATCAGCAATGAGGATCATAATTTTAGGGTTTTTTGTTGCTACTAGGAACTAATGAGAAAGACCTTTGCATTACATGGAGGAAAAGAATAATGTGCAGGAAAAGAAAGTGAGTATGTGTATGTTTGGTATTGTTGGGTTTTGGCTTTTGAGGATTTTATTTAAATTTCTTTTTTTTAGTTTAAGGAATGCTAAATCAGGCTTAGCTTTGCTAGGGGACATACCAGCTGTCTCCAAGCTCTTTTCATGATGATCTCTCTTGTACTTTAATTGAGAAAGCAGGGTGTGGAAGTTTCAATAAAGGCTCTCCTTTGTAGTGTGTTAATTAGGCACAGGAGTTAACAAAACCCCTTAGTTATAAACAATTACCTTTCCTCAGGCTTACTTTCATTTTCCTGCTATTGCATTTTTACTAATTTTCCATTAGGTTTTCAGAGTGGACAAGACTAATTTCTAAAATTAGTTTTCTAATTAGCAAGAAAAAGGAAAAAAAAAAAGAAAATCCAAAACACCCAAACCAAACCCAAGCAGGAAAATAAGGAGGAAAAATACCACTATAATTAGAAGCACTTAAAGATGCATTTGTTTTGGTGCTTCTTCAGGATACAAGAGACCAAGGTCTTTTAAGTTCAATGTAAAATCCCCTCTAAAACTGAAAATGGAAGTGACTCTGGATATAAATGCCTGGGGATGTGAAAGAATGTGATCGGGATTTGTGTGCCCTAAAATGATTACTACCCTCACCCCTCCAGGAGGGGGAAAGAGGGGAAAGTGAGAGTGGCTGCAATTTCTCCAGACATCTTTCCTGCCAGTGTCCTTGCTGGCTGCTCAGCATGTGCTCAAACTCGGGGCACACAACAGCTGGGAAGGGAGCGGCCCCTGCCCTCCTCCCTGTTGGCAGTGACCTCACCCATTGGCACCGAGCTGTCCCCAGGGCAGTGCCAGCCACCCAGGCACTGGAACCGTCCTCCTCCTCCTCCCTCTGCCTCCTGCCGAGGGAAGGAGCAAACCCCAGGGGCTCAGGGCTGTCTTTCTGCCTCAAAGAGAGCCGGTCCCAATGATAGAAAACTGTACTATAAGGATGACTGCCATCTTAGCACCAAACATTTTTCACCCTGGGTTAGCATGAAACCTTTCACGCTATGCTCTCTAATCTTGTTTTCTGTTTAATTTCTGGAGAAAGGTCGAGCAAGGCATGTGAATCCATGGTATTGGAAGAAACATATTATGATTCACTGTCTGGTCAACTCCACACTTCTCTTATTACTTCTGATACTACTGTTTGCCAAACACCTTTACAACAGAAGGCACCAGATACTCAAAGTTGCCTTTGTGTCCAAGCAGCTGCCCAGAAAGCAGGGGAGTAACATTTCTGTGCGACTGGGGAAATAGTAGTTCTACCTACATTCCCAATGGAGGCTGTGTATCCCATCCTGCCAGCAGACCTGGAAAAGACTGTCTAGGGGGAACTCATAATTCTTAGTGGCAGCTTCCCAAGCACAGCAGTTCTTACTGGGAACTTGCCTCGCCTCTCTGGAAGAGCCTGCAGATAGCCTAGGGATGATAGGCATTGCTGCACATCAAACCACTTTCCCTTCTCCCTGTATTGCAGTAGCACAGACTGATTCTGAAGCCAAGATCAGCTCTTGATGCTTTCCCCAAAGAACTTTAAAGCTCAGGCAGACCAGGAAAACTCAGTGTGAAAGCATGATCAGAAGTGAAGAAGGGCTGAGCATGGCCTCAATGCCTGCAGCAGGTCTCAGGCAGAAGTAGGCACAGGTACCACCCTGACTGACCAGGCAATCAGGGAGCTGAGGACCCCATGGCAGCACAGAGCTACTGCACGTACAATGGAAAATGTTTAAACTGCTGTAGTTGGGGCCCACAGGAAACTTTTGGGAAGTGTGTGCTGGGTCTAAGACAGGAACCAAGAGAGTCAGTGTTTAAAATATGCACTGACAATGAATTGCTTCATTACTTGGAGAAAAAATGAGAAGGGGGGAAGGGGTAAAATTCAACCACATCAGGAAACAGGCAAATAATTGTCTGACATATACACCAGGTCTCCTGATTGCTGGTCTTCGACTTTGCTGCTGCTCAGCCCAGTGTCTTACTCATCATGATCTCCTTCCAGGAGATATCAAGGTCTTCTCTGCCTTTAGGTATGAATCTCACACCCTGGAAAAGAAGCAAACAGAAACATAGGGCAGCTTGCCATTTTTGCTGTCTTATTTTGCCCTGATCTACTGTTTGCATTCTCCTCCAACACCTTACCCTGTTCATACACCCAAAATCGAAGAATGAAAGTGATACCCTTCAAACCAAGGAAACTTTGGCCCATGAGCTGCTGAAGAAAGGCACACAGATGGGTGGACCACTGCCCCTCTCCTGCAGCATTTTGTAAAACAACTGAACAGTCCCAGGCAGGAGGCTTTCTGCAAAGGCCAAGTCATGCAGGGCAGAGCACCTGGAGAAACTGGACCTCATGACCTGGACTTGCACATCCATATGCAGAGACATGGGAAACACTGCCTTTCTGGGGCTGGAGTGGGGAGGGGATCTCTGGAAGCTGCAGGCAGGAAGAGCCTGACTTGGGAAGAGCAAAGCAGGTAATAATCATACAACTATTTATGGCTCTTTTTCCTTGTGACAATCGCAGCCTTATAAGGGCAAGAAGAGCGCGGCAGCCGGGGCAGAGCTGCGGAGGTGGAGCCTCCAGGGGCACTCCTGATGTTTGCTCCCAGGCTATCTGCCTGCCCAAGCCGCTGACCTCGTTCCTGGGAAAAACCCTGGGAACCCTTGCTGAATCCAGCTGTTCAAATTTCAAACTACAAAACGCCTCGGCTCCCCTTCCCTTCTCCCCATACCTCCTACTAGCTGGAGCTGTGGTGAAGCAGAGACGTCTGCTTTTGTAATATTGTGGGTATCAGGGAGCACTGAGTTGGAGAGTGCCCCCACAGCCGACGTGGGAAACATAATTCTCATCTGGTTGTGACAGTACTGAGAACCGGAAGAAAAAAAGAAGGAAAGAAAAAACAAACAACCTTCCCCATGGCCCCCCCAGCACTGCTTGTTGGACCCAAGTGAGTGTGTGAAAAGCTGCAGCTGGAAAATCTGGTGCACAAACTCATTTGCAGATCCTTTTGCCCGTGGATGTGCTTCAAGAGCCCCCCAGTAACTTTGGCTGAGCTTCCGGTATGTGTGTTGGGTTCTTACACATTTCAGCCCCATCCCATCCACCCAGCTGAACTATGCTGGAAATGGTTTGCAAATAAAACTGAGCATAAACATGCTGAAAATGTCACTGTCATCAGATAAGGTTGCTATGCACATGAAATTCCTGACACGAGTTCATTAAACCAAGGACATGAAAAGTTAAGCCACATGCCTGTGTTGCCTGGGATGGGGAGGAGGGTATGCTGAATGGGGATTCAGGCTGTAACTTATTATTTTTTAGCCTTTTACCAACCTATAGCCATCACTTGTGTGACTCAGTTTCTCCCAAACTGAGGGGAAATAATAATGTTACAGCACCCACCTCCCTCTGTGAATACTGGTGTGATTTGTGAAGGAGCAGGAGGAAAGGGTTAGCCATGCCATTTGGGAGCTGTGGAAGGGTGGATTTTCAGAGGGCAAAGCACACACTGACAAAGCCAGGACTCAGCAGCCTTTGCCAAAACCAGTCATATTTAGCACTGCAGGAGGCAGTTAATCTCTGTATTATGAAACAGGCACTAAGAGCTTCCTCTATGATACACTTCTGCTAATTGGGGCTGTATCTGATTTGCAAAAACGCCCAGGCTAGATGCTCCTACATGGATTTACCAGTTCTCAGACATCCCAATTTGCAGAACTACCAGATACAATGACCTTCCCTACCACCTACTGAGTTGTTATAGATCTCACACCATATATTTTAAGAGAGGGGCAGGAGCTGTGGGAGTGGTCTACAGATGGGGATAATTTCAGGAGATGCCCTCTCCTAAACCTACCACACAGCCACCCTTTATCTGCTTTCTCTTTCTCAAGAAAGATGAGTTGTGCACACTTTGCCCTGGGATGAGCAACATGGATTAGATTAACCTGCAAAGGTGGAACATCATGTTCTCCTCAGCCTCTCAAGGGTCAGGGTTGGGGTTTGATAACTGTGTGAAGACAACCCAAGTCTGAGCAGTCTCTGAAGGAGGGTTATTCCCCTCTGGTCTTCACACTCCCACTGCCAATCTCAGATGATAGCCAGCTGATTCAGCTGGAAACAACCCTGAATCAAAAGAAAGACAGATGTTTCCAGTTTGATATTTTCCTGGTAAATTTGACTACGTGCCTGATACAGGGGTTCTGAAAAATCACAGAATCACAGAATAATGAGGTTGGAAGAGACCTCTAAGATCATCAGGTCCAA